CACTGCATAAGGCGTCGAGTTGCCTCGGCCTTCGAAGGTTTAGCCCCGCTGCTATAGCCTCCAGAGACCGCCTTAAGGCATTCGGCCTTACAACCCGAGCGTCGTCGCTAACCAGTATATCGGTATATCGACTCCGCACCTCAAGGCAACCGTCTCTACAAGACTCTACCACTACCATCCCTTGAGGGTTGCTCTCCGTTTACCTCAAGAGGCTAAGCTACTGGAGCTCGCAAGGCTCCACAAGGGGAAAGGAGGACCCGAACACCTCGTGGTGTGTTTTCTACTGTACTGGTTTCGTTTTGCTCTTTGCTTCCCTTTTGGGATCTCGTACAGGAGAGGCGCAATTGCACCACAACGCCCTGCGATGTCCTCAAACCAAGATCGATCGACCCATATCGATCTTGCCCCTGTATCCAAGGGGACCCACACCCTCTCGCCTCCCGCTCACAACTGCACAACGACATCCTCGTGGAGGTCCTCGCGTCCTCCTACGCATCTGCATAGGCGCTCTCGGACGCCTTCCGCAGGAGCACGTCGGGTCTCTAGTTGCGCTTCGTGGGAGGGGTGCCGGCCGCGGTCCGTTCCCTTCCAGCTTCCCCTGCGGTCCTCAAGACCCTCTGCGACTTGTCACGCCGCTTCTTGTGGCAAGAACGAGCAAGGTGGCCCTTGATACCACAGTAGTAACACGTGGCCGTGGCAAAACGGTCCTCAGTGGCACTGGGACTTCGGGACGGGCTCAAGCCCGGCGGCGACTTGTCGTGTTTGAAGGCATTCTCCTCAATGAGGATAGCGACGCCCTCCGAGCGAAACCTCGACTCCCGACCACCGACCACCCTTTTCGGAGCCATCATGGCCACCCGGCTTGCTACTTCGTCGAACGTCCCTTGTACCGCGAGGGCGTGGTCACAAAGCCGCCCGCTAAGCGACTGCGTAAAACGGTCGAGAAGTCTCTCGTCGGACACTGCATCGGGAAGGGCCACCGCGGCCGTGCGCCATCGCTGCGCAAATTGCCCGATGCTTTCTCGGCCTTCTTCCCACTCCATGGTGTCAAATCGGATTCGAAGACTCCTGTGATGAATGCTGTTGCACAGGCGACCCTGCAGTATCTCCCAGAGGGTGTTGGCGTCCGCATCGAGATGTGTCGAGGCGACGTCTTCGAAAATGGCCAAGGGCGTTCCCGACAACGCACACGCGAGGAGTCGCCGGTGGCCTTCTTGTCGGACTGGGAAGTCTTGGCAAAGTCGTTTCCAGGCCTTTCGCGCCGCGAAAAACTTCGGGTCCCCCGGTCTGCTGACCTGGACTGGCTCCATCGACTTACTGTAAATTTTGTAAGCACTTTGGAGCGAGTACACATCTACATGGCACGACCCAATACTTTGGTTCTCTCGCGGGCATTCAGCTCCTGCACTTTGTAACTCGTCACAATTGGTTTCGTCCTTTTTCTCATGCTGCCTGCGGGCCCTCCGTTCTCAGGCTGCTTCTTTCTCTTCTCGTTCGGCGATAGCGGATCAAACGACATTAGAAATCTTTTCCGGAAGGTCCTGCAGAGAGGTGGACGCTCTCGAAACAACATTTCCTACCAGTACGACAGTTCGGGTGCTTCGTTCCATTGACTCCATCATCGTTTCCAGGACTTCTCTCGTCCCTGCCAGCGCTTTAATCATCCCTGTGTCCGTCATTGGCGTCTTTGGCAAACCCAAATCTTTGGCACCCGGCTGTGACGGGCCCGTTTGGGACATTTCGTCCGTGCGGGACCGCGTCGTAGCCGGCGTAATTGGTGTTGCAGCAACCCTGCTTCCGGCTGTTACGGGACTTGATGAAGGCAAAGCGCTATCGCTCTGACCTGCGCGTTGTGATGGGCTACGAGAATCGTCACCTTCTCGGTCCGTAAACGGATTCATGGCGTGAATGCGCCCCTTGTTCCTTGCCTCTGCCAATCGATGGCAGTCTTATCGACGTGTGCCGCGATCACTTACAAGGTTGTAATGTTGCGATTAGCCCAATCGCATGGCACGAGCAACCAGCCAGATGAGGGTATCCACCCAATTCTTTACTTCCTACTCCGTTGCTGCCCACCCTTCTCTATCGTCGCGGGTGGCCTTTAAGTATTCTCTCTTCCGTAAGGGAAGCTCTCTATCCCTGTCTCCCTCGCCTACTCCCCCTTCGTTCCTGTTCCCCTTTGCCCCGACCAGCACTATCGGGTGTAACCATCCTTTCCCTTCGCCACGCTCCGGTGGCGTCGACTACGCCCCCTTGGCCGTCACCTCCGTAGGACTCCCGCGCTTTTGGTTCACAACTGGTGCGCGCGCATCCAGCCTTCGGTTCGAAGTTCATCGGTACACGTTGCCATGTTCTTTTCCTTAACAGTAGACCTTTGTCACAAATATCCGAGAACTCCTGAAAGAGCCAATCGTTTGCAAAAAAAGGGAATCCTAAAACGGTTATGCCGAGGTGAATCAACATTTACTGATACTTTCAACAAATTTATGATATGTTGCAATTGGACACAGTAGTGCGCAACTACGTGGCAAATTTCAGAGATGACCGGTATTGCGCAGCTACACAATTTTCACAAAAGAGACGAAGTGATTTCGGAAATGACGCCCAAAATGGGCAATATGTGGGCTTCCCGCCAAAACCCGACACCCAAAAAAGGCCATCACGGTCGCAACTCCCCATCCCCCCCACCCCAACTCCTCATCCCTCCCACCCGCAACTCCCCATCCCTCCCACCTGCAACTCCCCATTCCTCTTACCCCCCACTCCCCATCTCCCTCAAAAGATGGCCTCAATTACCGTCGACAGAGCCAAGAATTCCCCACAAATTCTTGCAGAGCTCGCCATCGAGAGTCAAAATGAGTTGCAAAACTACAGTGATCCGATTCATCCTCCCTCCGATGACGATAATGGCACGGATGCACCCATTTTCGATCAGTACTACAACGCCCACGGCTCGCAAGGTATCTTCGAAATGATCAACTTCGACCCATTGCAATTCCAAGGCATATGGGCTGGCTTTGAAAATTTCATTCTCGATCATTACAACACTGGTCGTGGTCGGAAGAGCACCGTCACGGCCAAAGACATGTTGTTTATGACGATGACTGTCATGAAACATGGCGGTGACTGGGCATTTCTTGGAAACATGTTCAATTTCAAAGGCCCTACGATGGAGCGCATGATTTGGAATTTTGTTGATCGCTTTTGCCATGCGTTTTACGAATCCTACGTGGAGTATCATGCAAAAAAGTGGACGATGAAGGAGCTCGTGGCAAAGAAAAATTGTTTTTCTCACTACCCTATGGCGCGGTACCCCACTGATGTGACGTTTCAACATTGGTTTCGCCCTTCCGGAAGTAGAGAAGAGGGCAAGCGCTATTATAGCGAAAAGAATAAGATTTACGGCTATAAGGTGGAGGTTTCAGTCTTGCCAATTGGAATAGCCATCGGATGCAGTGATAATGAGCCTGGGTCTGTCTCTGACCTCGTTATGTTTCAACAGATGCAACCGTGGCACCGAACCAATTTGCAAAAGCAAAACGACGAGGACACATTGGAAGAAGATGGGCCTTTGGGGGAAGAATTTAAGGACGCTTGAGCAGTGTTAGCTGACAAGGGTTACCAAGGCAGTGCTGAGTTTTGCAGGGTTGTGCATCCTAGCAAAAAACCACACAATGGTGCTCTATCCCCTGCTCAAAGTTCAACAAATCGGCACATTCAAGCGACCGTATCATCGTGGAGAATTATTTCGGGCGGCTTTGTGGGGCATGGACAGTGCTTGGGAAAAAGTGGAAGTGGGCGGAAGCTAGGTACGACAGTGTTTTTCGCTTGTGTCGCACTGACAAATTTTCATGTCAACTGCAATCCATTGCGGGCTCATGATGGGGCGATGTTCAGGCAAATTGCTAATCGTTGGTACTCTATTGGGGTGTCCCGAAATGAAAAGAGACGTACTGTGCAGCGCAATTATCGCGAAAAACGACAGCGTCGTATGAATGTAATGTTTCGCGCGTCTACCGTTCCGCAGTACCCAGATCGCCAGCCAATATGTGACGACCTACAGTTGTAAGGTTAACACCGCGGCGTTTGGCAGTTTTGTCGGCTTTGCGTAATTACTTTGTCTTTTTATGACTTAGTCATCATTTTAGAAGGATATGAGTAAATTTGATGACGGTATATCACCTGATGAGCACCCAGTCTGTACGATTATGGCACGTTAAATGCACCATCACTAAGCCTTTGAGCACTCGTTGCCCATTTGCACTTAAGACCTAGTGATGTACCCCTTCCTTCACCTCACTCCCTTCCGACCGACTTTCCGGTTGTGGTACACAGTGTCTGGGCTTCGCAAGTCGTAGCGTAGTGCCCAACTTGACCACATGCAGCGCAACGCGACTTTCGTTGAGGCGCTGCGACCCCACTGTCCACAAGCCGTTGTTTGACCTGCGGTATGGTAGGGCGTTTACGATGTATGAGCAATCCTGGGGGGCACTGTACTGTATACGCAGGCCCCCAGAGTCTGACTTTTTTACCTTGTGAGATCGGCCCACGGTGGCGCACATGGCCAAGGATGCCATCAAGATGCTGTGCTCGTCAGGGAACGTGCTCCCTTTGATCAAACTCATTTTGCGACGCTCTCTTCACCTCCTCACGTATTCAATCTAGAGCGCTCCTAAGAAATGGGGCTCATAAAGAGGGGTATGTAAGGAAAATTCCAAAATAAAAGGGGCACGTAAGAAAAATTCTCCTTATTTTTTGTTCCGCACTGTAGTTGTCAAATAGATTGTGCAATGCAGTACCCTTGGTGCGTGTGCTGTACCCTTCGAAGGGTACATTCACACAGTGCGTGTCTACGAGAGCACATTGTGGAGTACCCAAGGGCACCACACTACTATTAAAGTCGTATCTCCTCACGGTCCGCTTAAGAGGCGGGCTTCATGCTTCTTTAAGCACTCTGCACCGTACAACCCACACGATCACAGCCTATCTCCGTCCGGAACATGCCTGTGCCAGCCTTCTGCGGCTTCCCACCCGTTCACACACCCCTCTTCCGCCCAAGGAATTTCAACACTTGCGCTGTTCATCCGGAATGGTCCATGTCTATGTCTCCAGCGAAGCCTCCTTTGAAGCTTGAACTCGACGCCTTTCTTACCGCCGTCCCTGCATCCCTTTCACCGCCTGTGCCACCATTGCGTCGTCGACATATTCAAACTTCGGAAGAACAACGCGCTGAGGATGCGTACCGCTCCGCAAAGGCCGTCTACAAACGTGCGAAAGATGTATACAAAGGGCGCTCCATCACAGAATATGCAGACCCCAGTCCTGCTCAACAGCAAGAAGCAGAGGCCGTTTATCGTGCCGCAAAGTTAAAGTACAAAGAAGCGAAAATGACTCTGAAAACCATACGGAAAGCTAAAGAGGCTCTTCTGAAGGAGGAAGTGAGAAGCCCGGCACCACCAACTATAGATGGTGTAGAAATGAGAACAGCGAGCGCAATTGTCGTGGCTGTTTGTGGGGGAAAGACATGTAAGAGAATGGGCGCAGATGCCGTCGCAGACATATTACAACGGGAAACTCGCAAGGGATTCTTGAGGGATGGGGTTGTTCACGTGGATGCGCCATGCATGAAGATGTGCGGGGGTGGGGGACCGACAGTTCGTTTTGGGGCTGACACCATCAAAGTTGATTTCAAGAAAGCTGTGTCTGATGCGATCGAGGGGGGGGAAGGGATTGTACAGTAACCGCTTGCGTAGCGTAGTATCGCGAATGTAAGTTGTATGTCCCAGTACGATTATCTTGAATAAAAGTCCATGGTTATGTAAATATGCTAGCCAGAAGGGGAAGGCGAAAGCTGCGGCTGTGCTCGCGCGCAGCTTACTGCGGTATCTTACTAGCTGTTGTTTGTCAATTACTAGGCCCGTTCATCCATACTATCAAGACCATGCAGCAAAGGCATGACGACACGATGACGTATCTCCCAGTTCATCTACTCTTGTTCTTGACGGGATGGGATGAGGGTGATTCATTGCAGCGGGGAGGGTGGATGGGCTCTGGTGCTTACCTTCGCCAGTCTTGTGTCTCTAGAGTGCCCACTACATGATAAGTGACCTCATATGAGGCGACTTTTCAACTTCTTTTTTCTTGGCTTGTGCTTACTCAATAAGAAGGAAAAGTACCCGCGCCACTGCACTTGGCTTCTGCACTTCGGAAGGATGGAACTTAGTGAGAACTGGATGTCCTTCCTGTCGTTTTAAGCAATGCTTGGCCATAGAGCCAGATTTAGCAACCTTGAAACGTTTCATATTGATGTCTTCGAAACCAAAGCTTCCATTTAAAAAGTCAACTGAGTCCTGAAACTATGTACATTAGATTCTTAGTCTTTTAGTTGACTACTTTCTCGATTGCGCGATGTTTTTGAAGGGGGCAAGTGCGTTAAAGAAACAGTCTTCTCAATGGTTTTCTAAATTTGTGATTAAATAAATATATATATATATATACCGTTTATGTTTTTTTGCATAAAGACTGCTTTCCTTGGCTATGCGCACGTCGTCTACAGTAGGCACTACAGTATACTGTACTACTGCAGCTGGTGTGCAGTTTTCTGAGTACCAAGGGTACTGTACAGACTCAAAAAGTATTGAATCCCTGCCAGGTTTGTAACTTGAAGGAAATTTTGATTCGCATCTTGCGAAACCACAGGATACTGTACAAACCCTCCAGAGCGCTCAACAGCAGTAATTTCCTGTGGCCACAGCAACGTCCGCACTTGGGGGGTTTTCTTCTTCTTGACCCCATTACTTTTTATTGATCAATCCCCTGATCGAACCGGAGGTAAAACCGACCTGTCCTGAGGAAGATTGGGCGAAGCAGGTTGTTTTCTTGCCAGTCTTCCAGCATTAACCTATCATAGCCGGCCTTGTTTGCTCCCATCCGCTAGCGTTATGTCAACATCTTCAGTAGACGAGCTTTTGGCGAGTGGAGATGTGGAGAATCTTTTACCGCTCCTTGAGGCAAAGGAACTCGAAGCCGCAACTGCCCGTCAACCGCACTCGCATGCTGCAGCACATCTGCTGTGTCTATTAGTAGCGCAAGACTTGTGCGAAGCAAGATTTCTTTGGCGAAGGCTCTCACCAGAAGCCAAAGAAATTCCAGAAGTTGCGGCGTCATGGGCCGTTGCTCGTGCTCAGTGGTCTTCCAAGGCTCCCGAATTCTACGCCGCCACCGCTGCTTCATGGCCAAGTCAAGTGAAGCCCCTCATCGAGAAGCTAGTCGCCCAAACCCGTGACGCAGCCTTAGATGCAGTGCGCCAAGGATACGAATGCATATCTGCAAAAAGATTGGCCACCATGGTTGGAGTAAAGCTGAAAGATATATCTGAACTTTGCGACAAGGTTGGCTGGAGATTGGACGGTGACTATGTGTACATTTCTGGCTCGCCAAAGAGAAAGGCGGATATCGCAAAGGGATTCGAACTTGATACGTTAACGAAACAACTCGTACGTTTGCAGACAAGCTCCTGAATGCAACAGCAGGGGTTCGGATGTTGTGGGTCTGGGTCTGGGTCTGGGTCTGGGTCTGGCTCTGGGTCTGGCTCTGAGGAAGTGTGCTGGCTGGTCGGATGGTTTTTACGCGGAGATGTACAAATACTGGAATTTAACACAACGGCTAGATAAGCAAGCGCTCAATCTCATCTCGAAGATTGCGTACCTGGGCGGATATCGCGGAACCTTCATCCGTGAGAACGGAACAAGCGATGACAGCGCGCGGGACTCCGCAAGCTCTACCGAGAGAAACCTTCGATGGGACAAAGACGTAAGGAACGTTTTTATCCTCGCAAAGCAGAGGAAGATGCAGCAAGATTTCGAGGGGCTCTGCATCTCCGGCCATAACAATAAATTCGGATTGTCCGCGATTGAGAGTCTTGGTTGCCTCGTTGGCACCCTTCTTCATCTGCTTGTAGTTGGCGGCTTGTTGTACCAGGTCGAGGATCTTGACAGTTAGCTCCGCATCCGCCATCGGAACGGCTTTGGGGTTGGGTTCCTGCTGTAGAGGGAAGAAATATATTGAGGTAGAAAAGCAATGGTAAGGGATATCGTTAGTCAGTTAGAAATATTGTAACACAGTATTGCCGACGGAACACAAACGTCGCTTGTCTCTTAGCGCTTGCATGCCATTCACATACCGCAGCCATGATAGTGATATGTCCTGGAAGTCGGCTTTCCGTTCGGTTAGATAGCCAAGTTAGTTGCTGAGCTTTGTTTCTTGAGGGCTGAGTGGTGGCAGATAGATCTCTACAACACTAAAGGATAGCGGAAAGGTTCGACGGTCACGCCGCCGCCAGCACGAGTACCATGCTGCACTGATCCCTTCCGTCAAAAATAATCAAAATTTTATTTGTAGCCCCACCATCTGCTACCAACGTGTTCCGGGCGTGCACCCCGAGTCCGCTACTGTTCGGCACCCCAGCAGCACTATGAACCCTCCGAAAACTTGTGATGTACACCCCCACGTCCCTTTCCCGAGCTCTTTCTCGCTCTAGGATTGTCAAGGGGGCACCACCACAGAATATTTCTTCTGATGGCTTGGCTTGCCTCTCCGTGGGTGACATGCAGCGATTGAAGCTCCATGTTTTGGACATTCTGCTTCTTTCCTTCAAACAAAGGACATGTCTCGTCGTTGCCTGGCCTCTCGTCACTATACCAGATAATTTCATCGCGCTTGATGATGCATCTATCGCTTCGTTAGGTGTCACCGCTATGGATCCGCCCCGGTTGGCCGCCTACACCTCGCCAAAGCCCAAATCCGCGAAACGACGGACAGCAAAAAGTAGAACTCGTGATGAAAGCAGGGCAAGCCCGCGAACACCGAAAAGTGCAAGCCAGCGAGTACAGAACAATCATCTATCAAGTCCGGCAGAGCGTGGTCATTATCAGATACGGGATTCTACTCATGGAAACGCTTCGTTACATCCTGAGGGCACTCAGCGAGACTACCCCATAGAGGTCCAAGTTCTTCCGCGAGGAGAGACCGTTGTCCATGCTACTGAAGTTGTTGCTTCCACAGATTCCGATTTCTTGTGGTCAGAAGAGACTATCGCAATGGTCCACAGCGTGCTAGCGGGCCGATTCATTAGTCCCGGGATGCTCATTCCGATATCATTGTTGGGAAACAAGATAATGCTCACAATTAAAAGTCTACGCAGTTCTTGCTCATGGAGACTTTCGCATGAGGCATCACAAGGAACTTCAGGAATCAATTTCGCAAGGTACGTTTCTACTACAAATATTCAAATTCTTCCTTCGCACGAGACCGTAGTCCAGAAAGCACCTGTGGCATCCAAACTCGCAGTTAGTATTGGTGGGTTGGGGTCGCAGCTGCGAGAGTTATCAATTTTGGCAAAGGCAGCATTTCTGGAAGCTGCTGAAGAAGCATTGGACGAAAGTAAAGAAGAGCATGCTGATAGACTTTTGACAGACAAGCCGAGAGGGATTCTCTTGTATGGACCGCCCGGAACCGGAAAGACTCTTCTCGCATGTGCCATCGGCGAATTATGTCGGGCGGAGGTAGAGATACTTTGCGGGCCGGATGTATTAGGCAATTTCTCTGCGGATGCTGTGAAGGCCTTGGAAGCATGTTTTGCGCGGGCTAGACGGAAGCAACCATGTGTGATAGTTCTCGATGAAATAGATGCCATCGCCCCGAAGAGAGATGCAGCTCATGTTGACAACGTACAAAAGAAGCTGACAGCTGCTCTTCTCACCATATTGGATGGGTATGAGAGTGCGCTTCTGCGGGGCCTTTTTGTGATCGGAACCACGAGTCGACTAGACTCCATCGATGCTGCCGTGCGACGGGCGGGTCGTTTCGATCGAGAAATGGAGATACCGGTTCCAGGTTTCAAGGAAAGACTGGAAATTTTGGAAAAGCTTTCGGCAAAGGCCGCAAAGGATAACAAATTAAACGTCGGGAGGGAAGAGATGTCTATGCTCGCTCGAGTTTGTCATGGCTTTGTTGGAGCAGATCTTTCGGCGCTGTGGCGTGAGAGCGTGACAATGGCCATTCGCCGCGAGCCATGTGGGCGCGTATGCTATGACGATATTTTTAACGCGTTGAAGCTTGTAAAACCAAGTGCCCTTCGTGAGGTGGCTGTGGAAGTGCCGTCAACGAGATGGTGTGATATTGGTGGGAAGCATCACGCAAAACAGCGACTGAAGGAAGCAGTGGAATGGCCTTTGACTGAAAAAGGCGCAGCGTTGTTTGCCTCTTTGGGGGTATCGCCACCCTCTGGAATTTTACTATTTGGTCCACCTGGCTGTAGTAAAACCCTTCTAGCACGCGCCGTTGCTAGCGAGTCGGGGACGAATTTCATCTCTGTCAAAGGTGCGGAGTTATTGTCCAAGTGGGTCGGTGAGAGCGAAAAAGCCGTGCAGGCAATTTTCCGGCGTGCCCGTCAGGCAGCACCATGCGTGATCTTTTTCGATGAAGTAGATGCTCTCGCTGGCTCCCGTTCCGCAGCGAAAGGAGCCTCGGCACAGGCTCGTGTTGTGGCACAGCTTCTCTATGAAATGGATGGCGTTGATACTGAGGTGAATGACCTTTCCCGGCGTGTCGTAGTGATTGCAGCAACAAACAGACCAGATTGTCTCGATGAGGCTTTCCTACGTCCGGGTCGGATGGATGTGCAAATTCACGTCGGACTTCCAGACGAGGAAGAGCGGCTCGCCATACTGTCGGTACATACGAGGGACATTCCTCTTGCCAAGGACGTGGATTTAGAAGCACTAGCGATGGACACATTGACAGCGGGTTTCACTGGCGCTGAAATTGGGGCCTTGGTAAGGGAGGCGGCACTTGCTGCAATGGAAAACGATGTTGAAAACGCATCAATTGTCTCAAGGCATGATTTTAATAGAGCATTAGAGCGTGTTAGGCCGAGGACACCAGCTAGTGTTGCACAATATTTTGCTAAATATGTTAAGCAGGTCGAACGCCATAAAGTGCTGTAGGTGGGCAAGTACTAATTTCCAGTGCATCAGCGCAAGGCACTGTCGCAGTGTTATCGTGATACAGTTATTTTTTTGCCAGCATAGGACAAAGGTTTCATCATCAAGTTCGGACAGTTTCACTTTAATCGAGGAGAGTTTGGTTGTCTTGAGCTTTAGGCAAATAACGCTTTGTCGAAGTACTCTTCTTTGGCATTTTAAATACTGGACCTATAGAGCCGGGCAATTATATGCGAGTCAACAAACACCAACAGGACTGTTACGTTGTGGAATACTCTGCCATCCTCTATTTAAATGCCACGGAGACTGGAGAGCTTGGACCTTTCCCCGCGCTGCACCGCATACATCCTCGTGCTACTGTGCAAGAGCCCCAGAAAGAATCTGTTGCAGGGCACCGTACTGTCTCGCCGCAGCACCGGGCCGCATCGTATTTTATCTTCTAGCGGCAAGGAATGCAATCTTCCCTGCCCAGAACTGCAAGGGTACACTCCCTATCATTGCTCCGCAAACAGTGAATCTGATCCAGTATCTTCGCTACGCACCCTCTGACTTCCGTTGCACTATTCCTGTAGTTTTCCTCCATTCCCACGATTCAATTCTTTGCTACATTGCCGGGACAATCTTCGAGTCAAGCCTGAATCCGCTAGAGTGCTGACGCGTCTGTGATTCGTCTTCCTTCTACCGCCTTCTGCCGAAACACAGCCTAGTGAGAAGCCCAAGATCAGCAGCCGGCGCATCAAAAAGCAGCTACCAGGCGTGTTCATGCTCCGGCCCCCACATGCTCATCGCGCCAACACGATCGCAGTCGCGACTACGCACAGCAACGACACGAAACTTGAGAAGACCCTTGCTCGCGATACGACCACCACATCGCTTCGCCTGCCTCTCTTTCAGACTTTCCGTCCAGATCTTTACGGATCTCGTCTGTGCCCTCCATTCTATTGCGGTCCCCGTCGTGCGGAGACCACCCCCTCCCCCCCCCCCCCCCGCTCTTAATGCTCTTTCCGTCTTTTCCGTATTGCGGATTCCAAGGAACCCACGTTCTCTAATAGATATACCTTTTAAGGTTTACGCAGCAAGAATTTCACAAATGATTGTGACAAATAGAGGTATGATAAGTGACATTGGCATTTCTGAATTTCACAAATTGAAGATATACCGAGAAGTGCTTACGCCAAGCATCAAGCACGATCACACGAGTATTATCACGTAGCCCAATTTTGCAGCCCAACACACAGCTCCTCAAACCGCCATGTCCCTCGGACGACAAAAGGACCACAACCCCCAGGCCGTTTGCTCGCGCATCGCCGGGTGGACTTCCCTGCTACCCTCGATCTTCAAGAAAAAGAACTCAGACCCAAGCTCCGCCCTGTCATCAAACTTCATGTTAGCCGGTTTACTGCTCACACTACACAGCAGCTGCCATGATCGCGAGAAGCAAGTGTGTCGTTCACGCGAGATCAGCTTGACCTCCTTTGTTGATCATCGATTTGACCACTTCTCTGACGATGTGTTGCTGGCCCTGTTCCGGTTCAAGCTAACCGATATCATTCGAATTCTGCAATACGTGGCGTGGCCAGCAGAAAAATTTCGGACACGACGGAACCCCTACGGAACAAGCCCATTGTTAGTAACTTGCGCCGTTCTGCGGCGTCTTGCTTCGCCGAACAGATGGAGAGACCTGGAAAGACTTTTTGCTCTGCACACACACCGCATCTGTCAGAAATATTTTGGGAGGGGCTTTCTCAATTCGTGTCGGTGCGTGTTGATCTAGTTATGGGCAATCTACACAAGCTCTTTTGGCAAACTCGTTTCGAGGAGTATGCAGAAGCTGTGGGTGTTAAAAGTCAGGCGCTTGAGAATGTTTTTGCATTCATCGATGGAACGAACTTGGCTGTAGCTCGACCAAGTGGCTTGGATATCGATCAGCGTGTTGCTCATAGCGGGCATAAACGGAAACACCCTATCAAATTTCAGGCCTTAACTACACCGTGTGGTCTCGCTATGCATCTGTATGGTCCTTTAGAGGGCCGGCGTCACGATTGGACTATGTATATGCGAAGCGGGCTTGCCTCTACACTACAAGAAGCCTTTTTCCAACTTAACAGGCAGTTTGTGGCCTATGGGGACTCTGGTTACAGCTCAAGAGTATTTTTGTTCGTGCTGTTTTCGGGATCTAATCTCACACTAGGACAAAGAGCCTTTAACACGGCCAGGTCGAAGTCTGGCGTGACGGTTGAGTGGTATTTTAGAGAAATTAAGAGGTACTGGACGTTTGTGGACTTCAAGCGTATGATGACATTGAAGGAAAGCGCGGTGGGGATGTTGTATATTGCAAATGTTCTTCTCACCAACGCCCGTAACTGCCTTCATCCAACGCTATTTCGCAATATTTTCACTGCTCGCCTCCTGCCCTTGAGGAGTACATGATCCACCGGGATGGTGCCTGAGCCACAGAGTGCAGCGCCAGAGGGCTTCTCCCTCCTTTCGGGGACACCGCCCCTATGGAATGGAGGACCAATACGTGTCCGTGATGTCGGCGTTCTGGCGTTTGCGCATCGTGTAGTATAATGACCGGAGTGTTGGGGAAGAATTGGGGGGTCAGTGTGGATCGCGTGGGGAGAATCGGAAGACGCGCTCTCCGAATCGGATGAACTCGCGGCGTTATATACCGCCAGCTCGCTGACGAGCCAGGGAGCATGATCGTCCACACGGAGGGGCTTCTGTTCCCGCATCGTGCGCGATAGAAGGAAACGTCCGGAACGGACCGGCGCGCTCGAGTAGAGGGTCGCTACGGGGACGTAGCGAAAGCTAAGGGCGGAGGTCTATAGTATAATGACCGGCGCAAGCGCGCGGAGGTCATCGGACGGCCGTATACGGTATACACGTGTGCGGCTGTGCCCACGTGTAGCGAGCGCGCGCGCATGCCGAGCGGTCGTACTCTGGCGTACGTGTACAGTAGTGCACGTGTCGTCCGAGCGGTAGTCTACGCGTGTTACGTGTGCGCGTTAGCACACGTGTCGTCCGTGCGGTAGTCTGTAAGCAACACGCGTGTACAGTAGTGCACACGTGTAGTAGCAGCGTCCGTGCGGTAGTAGCAATTATGGCGCTAGTTTTTTAATTGTGTACAGTACCCGGGACGCACTAGGCGGCAGGTACTGTACTACTGTACTGGGACAGGTGTCCGAGGCGTCCCTCCACGGGGTTAAGACCTGGCACCCGTCCCCACCAGTAAACGGGGGCAAGCCGCCCCCGTCCCTTTTGCGCCTACGTACGTCCGCTTTCGGTTGTCTGTCGCGCGCGCTGGCTTCTAACCCGTTACCGGTCGCTCCCGTTCACGAACCACGGGGCGACTGCGCATAACCGGCTAGTGAGCCACTCCCTTTTCGCGAGCTCGTCCGATCGGTTCAATTGGCGCGTCGCGTCCGCGCCGCGTGCTCCCTCGCTAAAGCCTCCGCCTCTCACCCAACCCAGGGCGGAGAGGAGTTATCCCACATTTGGAACTCTTGTAGAGGGGAAAACTCTCGAGGTTGAGCTGCACGCGTGGTCGCTCGATCGCGCGCAGAACCGTACAGACGGAAAAGGTTGAGAAATCACCGCGTCGATCGCGAAGCGTATTCGACGATGAACCGACTGGATAAAGGGGAAGACTCCGCCTCCGGGCGTCTGAGTACTCGCAGTGGCAGTGGCGCACCGCGCCCCCGGGTGGAGAACCCTGAAGCCCTGCTGCGACCGCCACCGCGACCGGGCCGCACGCGAGCGTCCGCATCGGATGTTACGCCGGCCGCGTCGGCAGGCACTGAGAATTGCGTCCAATGGATGGTCGACGCGATTCAGCCGCGCATCCAGGCCTAGGCCGAGGAGTTTCTCGCTACGGAACTCCCCCAGGTAGCGCGCGTATGCCTTGACCGAACGGTGCCCGCGCTCGTGGACGCGCACGTACGCAGCGCCATACCACCGCTTTTGGACGAACTTCTACCCGCTCAAGTCCAATGCGAGGTGGTGACCGCGCTCACCACTTTGGATGAAGAATCCCCGTCCGGCACGGCTCTAAAGGGAGCGATCAGCTCCGCCGTGGCCAATCGTCTGGCCACGACCTTCGCCGGAGCAGGAGTCGACGCACGCGAGCAGCGCGACTCAACCGCTCCGGATCCTACGCTAACGCACGCTGAACCGATCGGCGCCGCACCCGGGATCGGTACAATGGCTAATGGTAGGTTCGGAGGGGCAAGGGAAAGAAGGAGGGCAGGTTGATGGGTGTGAGTGAAGGAGTTGGTACCGAGGTTTACTTTGAAGCCGTTTTCCTGCGATACTTATACACTTCGAGTGCTACACTATCGCTCTACTCCGACTCCCAGTAAACCATACTCTACTATGCGCGACCAAGCGCGGTCCTCTTGTGGCCCGACCATACTGTTCGATTTCCACCTTACGAATCGATTCGTAACTATTAGCTCACAACTATTTCTACACATTCCAAATGACTGTAAACCATGGCCCTATGCATGCAACTGTTTCACACCTTACTAATCTGCATCCAGTCATGCCAGACTTCATTGTTGTGCAACGAACAACTTGGCACTTGTCTATTTCCAACAACGCAAACGTCTTTCATATCACAATCGCCATACGTATCCTTGTTTCTCACCTTACTAATTTCGCCAAGCACTGTCAGATAATTATGGCAAGTTATAACAATGTGCATCCAGACTTTCTACACAACTCACATGAGAATACATGTAAATCACACGAGTACTGTCATGAACTTGCATCCAACGGCGCACCATGACGAGAGCACAGTGCAACGGCGCGTGTTCACGCAAGACTCGCATACAGCGTGACGCGTACACAGAATAATCGCACAACTGTATTCCTCTCGCGAGAAGTACTTGTTGTACTTTTGATTCACATGTACTGTACTCGGACACGCGCAGGATCGCAAACAGTCTGACACTGTAAAACTGTAAACCCTCATGTGCATACACCTGGATGCGTGTACATGTGTACGTACACGAGTCCACCTGGCGACGTGTACATGTGTACACGGCATACATGTGTCCCGCC